CAGGGTTGCTGAATTCCGGTGCAGAGAGAACTTGCTGGCATTTTGGTTCTAGACTGCCCTTATAAATGGGATCAGTCTGATATGCAAATAGAATAGGATCTCTTTGTAATGGCACAAGTGAGCAAAAACATTTGAGACCTGAGCGGGGACTAACGGAAGAACAAGCTACTGAGTTTCTCTAAACTTTTGTGCCGTTCTCACATTCTTCGTTTTTGTTGCAATGTATGTGTAGTATGTGTCTTTATCTCTTCAGGAAAAGACCTCTATGCATCACTGGAGAGGATGATTGTTTGGTGCCAGTTGCTTCTAGTTCCTCTTCTTGTTTGCACTGCCTCATTTCACAAACAAGTCGCAATAACAGCCTGAATTTAGAGAAGAGTGTCCTGAGGTACCTGTGTTCCCATTAATTTAATGACAAAATCCCTGAGCTCTTCGTTAAAAATGAGCAGGGTGGTTTCAGTCATCTGGAAATCACATCTTTCTACACAAAGCAAAACACTGCTGATGTTCCAAAGACTTAGCAATTGGATAGATTCATGGGCTAATGGCGTGAGACCTTTGAATGTGTATTTTATTTTCCCATGAAAGGCGCCGGCACGGAAAATGTATTAAAACTAAAAATGAAATAAACAGGTCTATTTATTGAAATGTAAATTGAAAAACATACCCAGGTTGGAAAAGTAACTGAGACAGTTTACAATTTGGCTGTTTTTAAAACGATAACTTCCCTTGAAAATATATGAAGGTGTTAATTAAAGAGGTTAAGCGCTATTCCCTGTCTGGCAATGCTTGTTGCTTGTAGACACAAACTCCTTTTATAGCATACAGTAAGTGTGGCAAAAATAAACATGAATTGGCAAATAGTCTGCATGTGTGTGTTTGTGAATAATCTAATTGCACCTTTACGATCGCAGATTCTCAACATGCCAACAGAATGCAAATATTATGTTTGTGAGCTCAGTGTCCACATATGTTTAATACATTTGCCCAGCTAAATCAAAGTGAATACTTGATCAAAGGCATAGGCGTGCGCAGCCTATTGCATTAGGGTGTGCACCCTAAAGCACAAACACACGCCGTGTGTGTGTGTGTGTGTATGTATCTATATATATATATATATATATATATATGTATATATATAGATATATACCCACACACACACATACACTGCTGTGTGTGCTGTTAGTGTGCTGTGTGCTGTTAGTGTGATGTGAGGGTGTTTGTGTGTGTGTGTGTGTGTTTGTGACTGTGCTGTTTGTGTGTGAGGGTGTTTGTGTGTGTATGTTTGTCCTGTGAGGGTGCTGTTTGTGTGAGTGTCGTGTATTTGTGAGGGTGCTGTTTGTGTGTGTGTTTGTGAGGGTGCTGTTAGTGTGCTGTGTGTGAGGGTGTTGTGTTTTTTTTTAAAGGTGCTGTGTGTGTTTGTGAGGGTGCGGTTAGTGTACTGTGTGTGTGTGAGCTGTATGTGTGTAGGTGCTGTATGTGTGTGCTGTATGTTTGGAGGGATTTGGCAGATTAGTAAATCCTTGCTGCCATGTGCCATCCTTGGTGGTCCAGTGGAGAGTGAACTCTAGCCTGCAGGGCTAGAGTAAACTCTCGCGAGATCTGAGCGTTGCCGCAGCAACACTCAGATATCGCGAGAGGAACCTGGCGGAGCTTCTGTCTAGAGCTCCCTGGGTCCTCTCCTGCCTCCCTCCATGCTGCTGTGGGCCGGTGAGATAGATCTTTGGTCTCCCCGCTGGCCCATGGAGGCTTAGAGCAGAGCCATCACTCAGATAGCGCTCTGCGTGTGTGTGTGTGTATATATATATATATATATATATATATATATATATATGCGTACACACACACACACTCACAGACACATTCAGACATACACTCACAGACACACACACACATTCACAGATACACACTCACACAGACACACACACTCACACACATACACTCACAGACACACACATGCACAGACACACACTCACAGACACACACACACACACATACATACATACACTCACAGACACACACACATTCACAGACACACACTCACACAGACACACACATACACTCACAGACACATACTCACACACACACAGGCACACTCACACAGACACACACACTCACAGACACACACACTCACACACAGACACACACAAGAATAAATTATTACATTTTAATTTAAAAAAAATGTCCACCCAGCCTCCTACCTGGAGTGCTGGCGTGGACTTTTCCCTGAGGTCCAGTGGGGCGGGCGCCTCTCTGCAGCTCAGCCGCGGCGAGGGAGCTGTCTGCTCTCTGCTCCCTCTCGCCGCGCGGGCTGTCTGCTGTAGCTGGGAGCCGGAATATGACGTCATATTCCGGCTCCCGGCATCAGCGCGCTGCGAGAGGAAGCAGAGAGCAGACAGCTCCCTCGCCGCGGCTGAGCTGGAGGGGGGGATCCATCACCTCTTGCCCCCCCATGACAGGGGCAAGAGGTGAAACAGGGGACGCTGAGTGCCTGCAGGAACAGCGTTCCTGCTCAAAAAAAGTACCCCGTGCGCACGCCTATGATCAAAGGATAAATCTGACTGCCATTCTGGGGTCAAGAAAGATTTTTTTCCTAGTTTGTTGCAAAATTGGAAGAGCTTCAGACTGGGTTTTTATGCTTTCTTTTGGATCAACAGCACAAACAAATGTGTGAGAGGCTGAACTTGATGGTCCCATATCTCTTTTCATGTAAGTATTTAACTATATATAACTATAAATTGTAGGCTGTTGCTGCAGCCTGCACATATGTTCTCTAATGTGCTCAAGCTCTCCCTACACCCGCCTTCCCAGATTATTCCATGCAGTCTCCTTCACAGAAATAAAAAGGGTGACAACATTTACAGTCTCTCTGTGTGGAGGACCAGCTAAAAAATATTTCAGTCAGCCGTGGGCCATCACTGGGGCTAAGATGAAGGTAACATGAGCTATTGCAATACAAGGCAAAACAAAACCAGATTTGTATAAACAATTTGATGGTTTAACAAGTTACCAGATTTTTTTTTTTTTAATAAAACATAGATTCTGCTTTTCTGTTTATATAGTGGCATTTGTAGCATAATTACTGTCATCCATGGAATCAGCTCGAAATATATAAAGGGCAAAGCAAGCTTATTCACACACCTGGTTTCTGATCTGACAGCTGTTAAAAAGCTAAGTTTTCTTGACAACGATCAAGAACTGTATTGTTAGCATTCCCCCCCAGTCGCACTCTGTCAATCCTGAGGATGCAACTAAAACCTGTCTTGCTGAGTGTCATTTTACATGGCAATTAAATAATGCAACAAATTTTATCCCAAAATATAAACCATTGTGATTTATTTAATAAACAGTGGGTTGTAGCCAGTGGACAAACAAGAAATAGATACAGTATTATTAAAGGGGCACTCTAGGCACTTTACCAACTTCATCTTATCGAAGTTGTTATAGTGCTTGCAGTACAACCCCAACATCCTACCCCCCAAAACATTTTAATTAATAAATTAGAAGCCTTGGAAGCACGGATTCAAGCCATACCTGGGTATGAGAGCCTGGAATCTTACGTAACGGCTCTCATACCATAAAATACTGTGACAGCACAAGTGCATGCCCAGCCCTGTCATGGTCGGCCACGTAGAATCATTAAACACAATGATTTTCTATGGAGGAATCATGGGCGCATTGAGGCGAGGGCTGTGCATGTGTCCCCAGTGTTCCCCAGTGTTCCTCTATGAAAAGTATTGGATTGGTCCGTCTGCCTCCCTCATTTCACATCCACGTCGCAATAATAGCCTGAATTTAAAGAAGAGTTTGCATGAATTTAATGTTAATGAGCAGGGTGGTTTCAGTTAGCTGGTAATCGCATTTATGTGACCCTCGGAAGAGGTAAATGCAATGTTGAGGGAGACTCAGGCCTGAAAAGGTGAGTGATTAGTTTAATTTTAATTTATGTATTTATTTTATTATGTGACACGGGTGGGGGGGAGGTGGGAGGAACTTACTGATAGGGGGCATCACGGTTGTAGCGTTAAGAATACATATATATATTCCTAATTCTACCTGTGTTCCTTTCAGTGTGCATTTAAAAAGTTTTAAAAATCTGAAACACATATTTTAAATTCAGAGTATCTTCTAAGTGATGTTGAATAAGTGTTAGTGAGTTTTAATATTGGGTATTGACAGGGCATACTGTACCTAGAGCATTTGGCACCCGGGGCGGATCCTGTTTCACAGGCATACACACACACAGTTACAGACAGGCAGTCACACACACAGGCAGACAGTCAGTCACACACACACACACACACACAGGCAGACAGTCACACACACACACACACACACACACATGCAGACAGTTATACACACAAACTCACAGACAGTCACACACACACACACAATCCCAGGCAGTCACACACATACACAGACACACACACATGCAGACAGTCATACACACAAACTCACAGGCAGTCACACACTCTCTCTCTCTCTCTCTTACTACTGACCGCATGGGCCAGGCTTGAGGAGGAGTGGATCCATTGAAGCTCCTGGAGTTTGTAAGTTGGGGAAGCAGGGACTTCCCTCAATGTGCAGAAGTGGGTGGAGGCCATGTTTAGCCCCACCTCCGCTGCTGGATTGACTCTGCCCCGCTGTTGACTAGATCCGCCCCCATTTCCCTTAGATGTGGCCGGTTTTCACGTTATGAAGCCCCTGTGTGTGTGAGCTGTGCGGCCACCCTGGTAATGGCACCCCCCTAGTTTAAGGGCACCCGGGGCGGACCGCGCCCCCCTTAGTACGCCACTGGGTATTGGGTCTTACTGTGTATTTCTGCATCATTTACTTTTACAACCCTGTTGTGAGTAACAGCAACTAGCATCCTTAAACTTACCGTTTAAGGCAATAGGAAGGCTGGTGTTTCCGGATTCTGACTTTTTAAGCTTTTCATTATTTGACATTTGAATTGTTTAACATTTAAATATATTGAAAATGCAATATTGGTATAACTACTCATACTTGTGTTTTGTATAGCGCCAGTGTTTGGACATAAATAAAATACACTACAAATTACAACTTTATTGCACTTTATTCATTTGGTTATAATTGGCATTAACATTGCTTGTTTAAAACATCTGGTTCCTTGAACTATCTCCTCTGCACCAGTGTTGCCGTACACTGGGGGTATCCTTTAACATGGGACTATCATTTTTTTCTCACTTATGTTTTCCTTTCTAAAAAAAAACAACAAAAAAAACCTCTTCATATTTATATACTTTAAAATATCTTATTTTTGAATATACAGTTACGTTCAATTCTACTACTAGTTGTCCTGAAGGTACAGAGTCCCAGGTATAGAACAGTACAAGGAAGGAACATATTACATATCCTTAGAGGTGGCCAGACTTAACTTATAATACAGAAATACAATGGTTATTATGAAACAAGTCGATGTCAAAGGAATACAGAATAGTGACAGGTCAGGTAGTCTAGCCAAGGTCAGAATTGAAGAGATCAGGAGAATCAATACACATGCCACGGACAATAACTGGATAATCAGAAAATTAGAATTAAATGCACTTTCGGGCTACTTGAGACCATAACATTGCAATGACCACAAGCAGGTGTGGGTACAAATAGGCCTAGTATTTGATGTCATCAGAGCAATGCCAAAACTTCATAGAAGGATGAAGTGGATTAATGCATCATTTTGGCTATACAAAGAGCTCTAGGTGAAGCATTATTCTTAATTTTGAAACAATGGATGGCTTTATTATTGAGATGCTGATCCTGTTGGCAACATCTAGCGCAATTGATGCATGACGTCAATACTGTGACACAGGATCGAGTGTCCAGCATGAAAAACAATGCTAGTAGGTGTCCCATCGAGTGGAGAATCAATGTCAGCTAGCTAACACAAGCATGACTACAAACCATGTATCTGATATATTCTTAACAATATATAGCCAAGCCCAGTTCTTACTGTAAGGGGTATTTCAAGCACAACTATATCGAATATAGTGTGATGCTCATTAAATATATCTTGGCTATGAAGATCTCTGAGTTAGCTGCCAAAAATTAGAAAGTCTGTACAAAGAGTTCTGTCCAGGTAAAGATTCACAGCTAGGAAATCGGTGCTGCAAGGGGGCAAACTGTTCAAATAAAATAATACATTTAAATAAGGGTTATAGTGACCGTAATCTGTAAAAATTGCTGCTCTTATAAGACACCACATCAGGCCGATTACCCGTGTCAATTTTGTCCATATTATGAGTGCGCCGTGCACACAAACTATAGAAAGTATCTTGTTCTCCTCCCAGTAGTATGGGCCTTCCCAGCACCAAAAGACAGTCCGGTTCACTACACAGAGAATCACGCAGTATATAAAGATAGGAGCTGCAGAATGGAATCCGTTTATTGAGCAGCAGTTCCAATCATCCGATGTAATGGTTGGAACTGCCCTTTAGCAATAAACTACTTATGCCATAATCCCATATAGAAAAGCCAGTGAATTAGATCCTCCTTATTAAAATATATCATACTGGTGTGGGCGGGATATAAATAATGGATTCAAAATTTTAGGGTTAAATTTTTACTAGATTAACCCTTTAAGTAAAGTGTACTTGCTAACTTTTTTTTTTAAATGTAAGCTTTTTTAAATAAAAATAAAAATAAGCATAGTTTATGATTCCATATTCAAAAACTATGAATCTTTTTATATAAATATATGCGGTACACACATGCTAATAATAATAATAAACTCTTCCCGTCTTGAATTGTCTTGAACAATGATGACTTACAGTGGTTTAATTAAAAATGAATGTAGTATGGTCACTTACGATGTCTTTTCCTTTTTTTGAAGTGATGACAGGTCTCGGAGTAACACAGACTGACTTGCACCTGTTTCTACAGCAGGCTAATGTTCCTCCGCAGTCTGCATCTGTGTTGCAGAATTTGTCTATTGGGGCAGATTTAATAAAATGTAATTTTGTCAGAAGAAGCAATTTTAATGTTTCAGAAAGAAAGATACTATTTTATAATATTTTTATTTCAAACCTATTACTGCTTCTTCTTGGTCTTCGAGAAGCCGAGATAAAATGACATGATTAAAGTAAGGAGTTTCCGTATCACCATTTGAATCAGAGACCCATATTAAAATACTCTTTAAAAAAAAACAACAACTTTATTTTAGCCAATATAAGGCTCGATTTAATATTTTCAGATAAGCTTTTCAAATCATTTATTATTACTGGAAAATACTTTTAAAATTGTTTTTTTTTTTTTTTAAATATTAAAATATATGTTATATATTAAGAAAAATCAATATATCAAAAATATTGAAGTGTTTTTCAAAACATTACTTAATTTTAAGAGTTTATCCATACATATTAAATCATTTTAAAAGTGTATCCAAATATATTAAATCATTTGAAAAGTGGATCCAAAAATATTAAATGGTAGTTTTGTAATATGCATTGATCATATATGTCATTGCAACCCTGATGTGACTGCAGTACTGACTAACTGTGTTCACCAGGTTCAAGCCACCTAGGTTTCAAAGTTCTAAGGGAGATATGTCCCTGGGTAGGACACCTAACCATATGTATCCTTCTACCCCAAAATCCCATGGACTGTAAGCTCGTTATTCACCTCTAAATATTTCCCTTCTATAATTGTAAATGGCTGTGGAATATATGTGCTAGTAGTATTAACAATCTGACAATTGGAGGTACCCATTCAAGACACAGGTGGGTCAGTAGTGGGTGTGCCAGTTACGTTATAAATGAATACACGCCACTCTGGCCGTGCAATAGGTTGCTACTGAAGCACCCTGGGCTCATTGCCCTGTGTGCACTTTTTGCAGTGCAAGTGTGTCTAATGACAAACTCGAGATGTGATTGCTGTGGTGTGTTGTGTTGGGAAGGCAAGAACCTGACTTCAGGACAGTTTCACAGGATCTGGAATTTTTTTCTTTATAAATATCTATGAAAAGAAATGTGATGACCCTTACGCTTGAAAATATTTTCCTCCAGTCCTGTATTTTGCTAATATACAAAACATACAATGTTCAATTTAGTGCACGCAAACAATTTATAGACTTTGAGTATAGGATGTGCAATTGCTCTAATATTGTTAAAGGGACACTCCAAGCACCGGATCAACGGACACTCCAAGTTCTTGTTGTAGTAAAACTAAAACTCTTGTTGTCTTGCACTCTGTTGCAAATAAATGCAATTTTCAAAAGTCATTGCAGTTACTGCTCAACTAGGTCTTATATGGAATTATGTGTCTTTGTTAGTAATACAAAAGTGGTGAAGTATTGGGTTTTGGTGTGAAATTCAAAGGGGTATATAGGCACCATAACCACTACAGGCCTCACAGACAATGAATGGTGTCCAAATGCAGATGGGGTTTATATTGCTAATAATATAAGTGGAGTAAGCAATATGCAGAGCAATGGGCTTAGCCACAAGCACCAAAGCAGCCGAACTGTAGTGGTTATGGGTCTTAGAATGTGCCTTCAATGCACTGTGTATGCACTTACCGTAAATAAAATCAATGCATTTAAATCCACAGCTGGTTTCACAGCACTTCAGTGATCCCGCGCAGCTGGTGTCCGAGGTGCAATTTAAAGCAGCGCAGTCTGTGCCATTGGCGCAGGAGGCGGGGCAGTCAGGTAGGGAGGCATTGCCAGATATACCGTGATTTGGGCAGTGACCTTTCTTCACTCCAGCTTCGTGTGATGTACTGTCTGACAATGATAAAGTAATCTTATAAACAGAGGAACCTAAGCAGGAATGTTGATGCATTCCCAATCAGCAATTTGAGCAGAGGTAGAAACATCCCTGGTGGAGTTATAGATGGAGGGTCGCATTCCTGCCATGATAACGTTCATTGGACAAATCAGGGAAGCTATGGAAACAGACAGGTTTTAGGCCACAACCATGACTTGCCTTGGTCATTTCACAAAGTTTGAGATCCTTGGCTCATGGGTTTATCTCTTTCCTCTCAACTTTGCTACCTCTCCGTTGATTTATGGCTCTCCTCCGTCATTTTACCTTGTCCCTCATTGCCTCTCCCCCTTTTCTATCACCTTTTTTTTTGTGTGTCTTCAATTTCAGATACCCCTACTATGTAAATAATTGTACATATCCTGCTCCTGCTTTCTGTTACTTTCCCCCTCATCTTATTTTGTTCCATCGATCACTGGTACCTTGACACCAACTCAGAGTGTGCTTAACATACACACAGTTTTATACTGTAAGCAGTGCAATGTCTTCTCATGGCTTTGACCTACTGACTCACATAGACCCTTTGGTTTTTCTCACTCTTATTCTTGTTTGTGTTGTATCACCTATTCGTTGTCTGTGAATGTTGTGTTGCCGGACACGTTTCCTTACATGACTCATCTTTCTCTGAAAATATAATTTGTTGTTTGTTTGTTTCATGGTTGACATTTGCACTTGTTTTTCCCATATATCTTTAAAATTTGAAAATAAAGAACTATAAAATCAAAACAAAACAAAAACAAACAAACCTAGAGTTGTTTACTAAACTGGAAATTATTGGCAAATGGGAAAAAAAATGGTTCTACTACTTTACCCACCTTGTAAAATGTATAATCTATACAACAAAATGTAATAATCTAGCTCCTCATGGAGCGTGACATCTAAATGTTGCCCTGCAGTTTGTGGATAGACATAGGAGAAGGATATTGCATCTTTTTCTCCAGCCGTATAAGACATTTTATAATTTAATTCTTAAGTCTCTCCCCAAGCACATATGTCTAAGCTTTCATATGCAAACAATTGGAATAATCAGTCACTTAAATTTTGACAGATATGTGTGTGCTGCTGATATAATACATTTAAAACATCCTGTCCTGCTGTTTTACACTGTGCAAAATATTCAAAATATATTGTAAGTTGGCGTGTATATGTATTTGTGTGTTTGTGTGCGTATATGTATAGAACTGGAGCAGAAATGTTAGCTGTACGAGTCCAGTGATGTAGATATAAAATAACAGATTACATTAGTATCTTGTATTAACTTTTTTATTGGACAATTAACATTTTGGAATGACAAGCTTTTAGATGATTTAGACTTGAGAAAGGTAGGATTCCCCAAAAAGCTTGTCATTCCAAAAATCTGTTAGTCCAATAAAAAGAAGGTATTACATACAAGATACTAATTTATTATGTTATTTTCTATACATACACACACGCACACACACACTCACACTCTCTTGTTCCCACACTATCTTTCAATGATCATTAAATATATATGTACATTTACTTATTGTATGTATTTGTGTGTGTAAATATCTTTATATATATAGATTGTTGTAAAGAAGAGAAAAAAAATTACATTTTGGTAAAAGATATTAATATATTCTACCTTACCATGATCCCCTCCGTGAGCCAGGGTTAAAGCCATCAGCGCAGTGAGGATCAAAAGTCTAAGCATAGCTGGATGTTCTTTGAGAAACTACAGACACAACAATAATGCAGGGATTGTTATTAGTAAAGAATCGATGGGGCTCGGAGTACTTATATTCTGTCACCTTGCATTATAGTCACAAGTTATCTGTATTTTATCATGCCTTCGGGACATCCGACCTTAAAATAGAACCATGCGGATCTAAAGATAAAGAGACTTTATATTATGGGCCGATTGAGAGGAGTTCCGATGTTTTGCAAAAACCACTGTGCACTTTGTTCCACGTCAAGGGGCACACAACCTTTTTTTTAAACATGTGAATAAATGACAACATAAAACTGCTACGAACAAACCCAACCCAAACATGGGAACATCCATTCTTATTTTCTAAATAGCAATTTTGCTAGGTTAGTATTAATTACTAATCCTTAGAGACAGTTCATTGTGTGTAAGATATAAAGTTTCACTTTAAGGAGAGTATTGTCTTTCTTCGTGTAATCATTCTATTAATGTCAAAAGTGAGGCTTATATGCTATTCACGAACTGCAATCCATAGTCATAAGAAAGATATTCCGCTCGTATTGTCTACTATTTTATGGTTTTCTCTCCCTCCTGTTACAGAGTAATGTTTTGGCTTCAGGACAAAAAGATGAAGTTATCTATTCATTAAGCATCAAATTGTGAGAACTTGAAAAACGAATTGTATGACTAAGGCTAAAATGATGAAGCTGTGATGATAGCTGTCTTAGAGAATAATTTTTTGGGAAATCGGCTAGTTTTTCCAAAAATGTGTAAATGTTTCCGTTTATGGCAATTTGTTATCGGGATGGGGAAAATACCCATCCCAGACATAAGAAATACATCAACGTTTCTTTTTTGTTTGTTTGATTTATATGCACTTCTATTTTTTTATTCCATATACCGGTATTTCGTTGTTTTACAGTGATTATTATTATTGTTAAAAATGAAAACCTTTCAATAAAAATATTTGACAAAGAAATACATCAATTTAGACGCTACCATGAATGAGAAAATTGCTTCAATTTTCGCACTTGTACTCTTATTAAAATCAGCGTCCAAAAAAGAGAGACTTCACAGTCTTCAAACTATAAGGACTTCTGCTTTTTAAATTATTTTCTATAAAAAAAAATATATATATTAATATTTAATTCTGTACTGTGTCTGGGATTGATTGACAACTTGCGGCATTGTACTATATTTGATGTACGGATTGGTGTCACCTTAAATACACAAATGCTTTCACACGAAGCGCCATATAATCATCTCATGAACTATGGAAAACAATTTGCAATAACAAATATATATATATTGTGCTGATTGTGAGATTGGAGAATAGGAGAAGCAGTGAGATAGACTGATTGTTACCTATACAGAATGCCCAGAATTCCAGAGCTCTGGTAAGGATAAGTTTGACCTAGGTTATACTTTATTTGATTATTAATGGTATTACACTATAATATATTTGTTTTGTATTTCTTTTTATAACACAGGCGGAAAATGAACTGTTATTACACTGTTGGAATGTCACCAGGGAACTGTACTAAGCAAGCACAGTAAGTTCATATTGCGCAAACTGCTTTCAATCCATTCAGACTATAGATTAAGCGCTTTAATAGCATTCTGCACATGTGCCGCCCTAAGAGGGACTGGTGAGCACAATAACCAGTCAGCATGGTGTTCATTCATGCCAAGCTCAATACCCTTTTTTCAGGAGGCCCTGCTTTTTTCCAGAATTGCCTTTCCTGTTTGGGCTTTGTCAGTGGCACGTCGCAGCACCGGCACACCTCCTTCATGCGCACCTTTCCTTGTCCCAGTTTCACTCCTCCCAATATAGAATTGTATGTACGAGAGAGCTCCACATTTTGGTTACTGAGATTTAATCGCAATATTTTAGTTCTGTGTCACTAAAGGGGAATAAACACAAATGTTGACGCTGCTAAGAATAATTGTTGTATTTATTATTTTTATTGTGATTGTTTTAATATAATAAGCACCAAGTCACTATTTTCATTCACTTATTGAGTATTAGAGACCATGGACTAGAGTGTCACAGGAATATACCCTAACCCGCAGAGTCTTGGATAACAATAGCTGACGAGATAGAACAGACGTATTACCGGTCCTTGGAGAGAAAAAATGAGACATTTTAGTCAAATACAAGTCTAGGTCAGGACAACGGAGAGACAGAGTAATTGTAAAACTATCCTGAGTCATGAAAGCAGAATAACAGGACATCTAAAGTAGCCACTAGTAAAGCTAACAGAAATACTTAGAGTCAAGAACTAGAAACCGAACTAAAACTAGAGTCAAGAACTAGAAAAATCAGATAAATTAGCAACAATGAATCACTTAACGGACACTAGGAACTGAAACCACGATAGGACACCATAAATGGGGCCAGATAACTTTATACACTGTGAAGTGTGATTTGATTGGTCCACATCACACCTTCGACCCCAGAATGTAGGTAAATGCTGGATCGACGTGAACCACGTAGAATGAGTGCACCTGTAAAAACACTCTGAATGCAAGAAGCGTTTGAATCTCTGAAATTTGGGCTGCGCGATTGGCTTACCAGTACGGCACATGCAACCCCCACAGTAACATTGGTTCACAGCGTCGACGAGATAAGTAACACTGCACCAGTAAATTTTAATATAATGATCTTGGATTATTGATACATTGGATAGCAAAAACCAAAAGAAGATTAATATTTCTCCCTTTAGAAAACATATAAATGTCTGCAATGCATTCAAATATATTCACAAATGTATTTTTACTCTCTCTCCTACTCTCTCTCTCTCTGTGTGTGTGTGTGTTGTTCATTTCTGCATTTTAATAAAACAAGATGGAAAAATGCAGTTATGTATAACTGCTACTAATAGAGTCCTTGTAGCCAATTTGTATACCTAACACAACATTGCAAAACTGCTGCATTAAACATTCAAAATGCAGCTTCCTTTGTATTCATTCATGTGTTAGATGGAAGCACATTTGTTAAGTAATGTTTCCAGGGCTCATCAAGCCAATGGTGTCTGACAAAGTAGAATTCGATTTTTAATGCATGTTACAGGGCAATATAAACCAGAATGTGTGTTCAATTTGAGTATCAATGTTCTGCTATCCGTTATACATCAGCAAGGTGTATAATAGAGAATCAATATCTCGACACGGGTCCAGATTAACATATTAAGAGCTGGTTGGCACAGTGTGCTTTTAGTCCACCTTCAAAAAATATCCACATAAGAAACCCACATATCTTTTTCTTATTTTGTATTTAGAAAGTTCCAACAGGTTCTGCAGCACTGTACAAATGTACTCAATTATAGATGTAGTGATGCAGGACAGAGAGTGTATTACTGCTATTCCATCCATACCACCAGTCAATATAACCAATCAATATACCCACCTAGATACCCTCTAGTGGCTCCAGATAGTACATAGGTCACCTGGCAAACTGTTGTCATCTGAACCAGAAAGAGGCAAACTCCCATAGTCAGTGTAAATCATACATTCCCTAATGGTTTATGCTGGCAACCATAGATTTAAAAAGGAAAAAATACCCCTTTAAAGGCACATCTTAAATGCAGAAATATATGTCCCTCATAGACAGGTGCCTAATCAAGCACTCTAGCAATGGTGTACAATAATGAACCACTCAGAACCTACATCTCTTACATACATGAGGTGCAATGTCTGTTGACAGTTTATTTGATAAGCATTAATTTATTATAAAATCTGCTGGCATGGTTCGTATCGTTCTCGAGATTGTATTAGAGAAATGTGTATTTGAATAAAGGATGTATGTTTATAACATGAAATCAAATATTATAGGGTCAGTAAAGTCACCAGGTCCACGTCCAGTGGTGTATCCTGGTTTTGTGCTGCCCTAGGCATGACAAAACTCAGGTGCCACCTCCCCACACCCTGCCACCTCCCCTCCCCCTCTACCCCGCCTTCTAAATACACACACACACTAGCTAACAGACATACACACTCACTAGCAGACACACACATTCACTAACAGACACACACATTCACTAACAGACACGCATACACTCTCCCTAACAGACACATACATAGTAACACACTCCCTAACAGACACACTCCCTGATATACACACACACTAACAGACACACACACTCACTGACAGAAATAAACACACACACTAAGACACACACACTCACCCACTAACACACCCTCCCTAACAGACACACAGACTCACTAACAGACGCGCACACACTCACTAACAGACACACTCACTAACAGAAATAAACACACACACTCACACACCCTCCCTAACAGACGCACACACTCACTAACAGACACACACACACTCACTAACAGACACACACACACAGTGGTGTATCCTGGTTTTGTGCTGCCCTAGGCAGGACAAAACTCAGGCTCCCCCCCCCGCCACCCCCACCCAACCCTTCCACGCCCCACCTTCTAAATACACACACACAGTCAGACACAAACACACACACACACAGTCAGACACATACACAAACACACACACACACACACAGTCAGACACAAACACACACACACACAGTCAGACACATACACAAACACACACACACAGTCAGACACACATACACAAACACACACACATACACAGTCAGACACACACACACACACACACAGTCAGACACACACACACATACACAGTCAGACACAAACACACACACACAGTCAGACACAAACACACACACAAACACACACAGACACACACACACACAGTCCCATACACACACACACAGTCAGACACATACACAGACACAACACACAGTCAGACACAAACACACACACACACAGTCAGACACAACACACACACACACACACACACACACACACACACACACACACACACACACACACACACACACACACACACACACACACACACACAAACACACACACAGTAACTTTTTTTTTAATTTAAATCCCCCCCCCAACCTCCTTACCTTTGGGAGTGCTGGGGGGGAGGGGGGTCTCTCTCCCTGGTGGTCCGGTGGCTGCAGGGCGGGCGGCGCTGGCAGGCGGGCGGCCGGCGAGGGAGCACTTCCCATGAGCTGACTGCTCAGCTCCCTCGCGCGTCGGCTGCAGAGTGAGGCTGGGAACCGGAAGATGACGTCATCTTCCGGCTCCCAGCCTCACTTTGCGGTGCGCGAGGGAGCTGAGCAGTCAGCTCATGGGAAGTGCTCCCTCGCCGGCCGC